GATTTTCCACCACAGAATCCTGTAAGTTGCTAGAGAAGTAGACTCAAGCAAATACTGAATTGTTTAATTTGTAATTTGCAACCTTCTCATTCATTCATTTAACAAAGACAGTGGGGCTTATTCGGAGCTGGGTTTTGTGCTAGGGGCTGGAGATACAATGGCAACCCAGGACACAGAATTCAGGCACAGCCGCTCATCTTAACTTATAGCCTGGTGGGGGAGACAGGCAAATATGCTAAAGGTAAAGAAACCAGTATTGTCAACACAACTTCAAGGAGAAGGAAGATTTCCCCAAGGAATTGTAACTGTTGCGACATGTGAGGGTAGCTCAGAAGTGGAAGGTAGGTCTGTGTAGGAGGAGTAGGTGATCTTTAGGTAGGGACTATTTCAGACAAACGTACAACACATTTAACCTCCTTGCCAGACCAGGCTGGGTGATTTTTGAAGTCCCAGTGCAAAATGGAAATATAAGGTGCCTTGTTCTAAGCTCTGCAGAATTAAAGATGGCAATAGCGGAGCCCTAAAGCAAGCGCAGGGCCTATATAAGCATGGGACCCCATATAGCTGCAAAGTGTGCATGCTCACAGAGCCCTACCTTGCCCTCTCCCTGAAAGGGGGGATGAGGCCCAGGGGCAAGTGGGATGCCCATGGTATGAAAGTGGTATGAGTGGGAATCAGAGATCAGGTTTCCCTGAGATTTACGTCAATGAGTGCATGCCAGAGTCTTAGGAAACAATCCCATGGTGTTCTTACGGTCTCAATAATACAGGTTGTGATTTCATTTTTATTTAAACATTTATATTAATTTGCATTGGTCATTCTGAGGTCGGTGTCTCCACTGTTACTTTTTTAAATGTTTTCCCCAGCTTTATTGATATAGAATTGTCAAAATTGTACATATTTTGTAAATCAGACACACACGTTTGCGTGCCACGTTATTTGTCTGGTGTGAGAAGCCGAAAGTGGAAATAAGGACTAAAATTGGGGAGATTGGGTCAGCAGTGTCCAAAAGTTGTAGGTTTCTTCCTATTCTGGGCATGGAGGAGAGGTCACCCCTATGTCCAGGACTGAATGGATGTTTGAGACTTTGCCTAATGGGAAAGACATCTTTGGAATGGTATTTCCTAAGTCACGGCAAGAATCCACATAGATGATTAGATGGAGGCTGTGCTTAAGAATGGCACCTTTGAAATATTGGTGGTCCCAGCTTCTGGTTTTCTACCCAAAGGCCTGCATTTTGGCTCTTTTTTTTTTTTTGACATCCACTTAATCTGATAGTCTGAACCCTTTTCCCCAACTGAACTCTTTCATGCTCTGAGAAAATATCCCACAGGACTGGGCCCTCCTTAACAGTCTTACCTTCCTTCTAAACTGTAAATTTCTGCGGTGGCTATCTTATGCAAAATCCATAAAAATTATTGTGTATAGTCTCTACTAAATGTTAAGGAAAACATGAAAAAAAGAACAGAGAAATATGAAGTAGGGAGAAATTCTAATAATTTCCCAAATTATATATTCTGTGGTTTCAAAACTATTTCAATATATATGCTAATTTGTTTCATTTATACCACTAGGTCCTCTTCATTGAAAAGAAAGTTTTGAAAGAAAAAAAAAAGAAAGAAAAGAAAGTTTTGAGCTGTTATCTATTTGTTTCTTTTTTGTAAGAGTCTTTTTTGTCTATGATTTGTACTCTAACATTTTGGCCATTCTTTTAAGACTATGGTACACAGTGTATTAACTGTTATTCTTTAATTAATTTGTCATGAAATTTTGCTTTATTTTTTTCATAGAAGATTGTTTTAAAAATCATTTCCTTTACTAATATCTACTTGTATTACATTGAAATTTTAAAATGGTACATATTTAAGACTTACCACGTATTGTTTTGATATACACTGTGAAATGTTGACCTTAACCAAGCTAATTAACGTATTTGTCACTTCATATAGTTACCTTTCTCTCAGCACATTTAAAGCACACTGCACTGCATTATTAACTATAATCATATTGCTGTACATTAGAAGTCTACAACTTATTCATTCTGCATATCTGGAACTTCATACCCTTTTGATTGAGATCTTCCCATTTCCCCCACTCCAGCCCCCTGGTAATTATCATTCTACTCTGCTTCTAAGAGTTTCATTTGCTTAGATACCACATGTAAGTGAGATCCTGCAGTATTTGTCCTTTGTCTGGCTTCTTTCACTTGGGATGTTCTCCAGGTTCTTCCATATTGTATCAAAGGAAAATTTCTTTTTGTGTACGTACACTTTCTTTTCTTTCTTTTTTTGCAACAGGGTCTTGCTATGCAGTTTAGGCTGGCCTTGAACTTCTGGCAATCCTCCTGCCTCAGCCTCCCAAGTACTAGGATTACAGGCATGTGCCACTACACCCAGCTTTCCATGTGTCATTTTCTTTATCTGTCAACACTTTGTTGTTTCCACATCTTGGCTACATATAAGGTTCCAGATTTCTTTTGAGATACTCATTTCATTTCCTTTGGATGTATGTTCACATTTGGGATTGTTGGATCACATAGTCCAGTAGCCCTATTTTTAATTCTTTGAGGAGCTGCTATACTGTTTTCCATAATGGTTGTACCAATTTTACACCATTACCTCTAAAAAGTGAAACCAAGGCTATAGAAATCATGCAGGTGATAGTTTCTCTCGTCTTGTTTTCTTGGTGCCAGCTACCTAAAATAATTAGTTACATGCGGTTCTTAACAAAGCACATTATTGGGTGGTGGCAGAGAGCTGTTGTTCTTCAAATGTAAAAGAATATGGAAAACTCATTACCTGTAGCATTACTTGAGTTCAAATCCTGATTTTCCACATACTAGTATGCTCTTAGCCAAGTTATCCATTTAGTTATTTATTAAAATGTAAACTTGTTTTAAAATAGTTAAATACATTTACATGGTTGAAAATTCTGAAATAGGATCAGGTGAATTCTTTCAGAAATTTTCTAGGCATGTACAACATATTTCACGTTTCATACACAAATAGACTACACAAAATGTTCTTTTTATCTTCATTAGTATCTATTAGTCATCTCGCAATATCAAGGGGTAACTGTCCCCAGAACCCTTGTGTAAATTAAATTGAAGATCAAGTCTCTCATATATAAAATGGTATAGTATTTGCATATAATCTTCAGTCATCCTGCATGCTTTAAATCATCTCTATATTCTTTATAAAGCCTAGTACAATGTAAATGCTATGTAAATAACTCTTACCCTGTACTGCTTAGAAAATAATAACATAGAAAAACAAGTCTGTATTTTTTCAATACAGTCACAGATTTTCTTCCTGGATATGTTCAATTGGAGGTTGGCTGAATCAGAAGACAGACCATATTACCATTGTTTTACAGACTTGCTAGAATTTTGATTGTATGGATGTACCTTACTTATTGAAATAGTCCTATTCACAAACATATGGTTTGTCTTCTGTTTGGAGATATTATAGAAATACCTTTTCATGAACTCTGTGTACTTATACGAGTTTGAAAAAAGGACAAAATCCCAGAACCAGAGCTCCTAGGTCCGAGGTTATGGTCATTTTTTATTTTAATAAGTATTACCAGATCAGGCAAGTTATTTAAGTGGGCGTGACTTGTTCATCTTTGTAAATAATGGACAATAATAACTTTCTCAAAGGATAAAATCAGATGGAGGCACATAAAAGCCTAGTATATAGCAAGTGGACTGTCAATGAATGTTGGTTTGACTTTCCTTTTCCTGTGTTTAGATAACTATTTATGAATATTACCAATATTACCATGACTATAGTTTTTATAATGAACACAACAAATGTGAAAATTCTGAAGCACCACTTAAAACACCATTATTGACTGTAACTAGTAAACTGCCTGGAGGTCAAATATGTTTTTGAGAAGACACAAATTTGACATTGACTCTAAATACTAGTTTCCTATTAAAATAGTTGATTTGATAAGTACCTCTTATAACAAATATATCCCTAATAAGAGCAAAATGTACTGGACTATTATGTCAATTTAAAATACATCTTCCAGCCCAGTACAGTGGCGCAAGCCCGTAATCTCAGGTACCTGGGAGGCTGAGGCAGGAGAACCACAAATTCTAGGCCAGCCTGGACAATTTAGAGACCCTATCTCAAAACTTTAAAAGGGAGAGGGATCTGGGGATGTAGCTCAGTAGTGGAGTGACCCTGGGTTCACTCAGCAAAGGGGGGTGTGTGTGTATCTTTCATTCTTGTTTTTTGTAATGCTTTAGTAGTGCAAATCAATGTTTTCAAGCTCTATTCAGAGGCTGTGGAGCAGGAGGACAGGAGGTTTCCTACAGGCCTGGGCAAGTAAAACCCTACTACTCAATTTAAGTAATTTTCTTATTAATAAAATCCAACTATGAAAAAAGCACTTTGACAAAAAGATGGAAAAATTTAGACCTGTCTTTCCTCCTAGGCCTCTGGGGAGCCGAGCCGAGGCATCTTTAAATTGACCTAGAGTGCAGTGGGAGGTTAATGGGACTCCTCTGAATGAAGTCCCCCCAAGCGTTCTAGCCCCGCAGCCCCAGCTGATCAGAGCCCGAGGGAAACTCCAGGCTGGTGCCCTCGCGCTGGAAGCCATGGCCGCGCTCCGTGCAGGCTGTTCTTGTGGCACTCAGGACACAGCCCGAGCTCGCCCGACCCCCGACCCCACGGCGAGCCCAGCGCGGGACGCGGATCCCCGGCGGGTTTTTCTTTTGCTGCCAGGGCACAAGAGAGTTATTGTCGCCCCCTTGAAACTTCACCCGCGGGCGAGCAGCGCGGGCCGAGTGGGATCCGGAGTAGGAGCTCGGTTGGCTCGGCCAGCGTTCCCCCAGCGCGGCTCTCCACACCCCTAAACGTGTCCAGCGGGGCGGCCGGGGCGGAGGCTAGGCTCGCCGAGGCGGCGGAGGCAGCGGGAGCCGAGGCCGGGCCGGCAGGGAGCCCGAGCGCGCTTCCGCCGGCCGCGCCGCGCACGCCGCGGGAAATGGGAGGCTCGGCTGCGGGGGCGGGGGCCGAGCAGCCGGGGACTTTCAGGAACTGCAGGAGCGGGCGGCGGCTGGAGTCGCCGAGCGCCGAGACTCGGGCCGAGGCGGAGCCTCCGCCGCGCCGGGCCCTATTCGTAGCCGCGCCGCCTTCGCCATCGCCCTCGCCCGCCGCGGCGCGGGAGACGAGCCGGCCGTCCCGGGCCGGGGGAGACACTCGCCATGGCCTCCAAGGTGAGGGTGAGGGGAGAGGGGTGCGGGCCTGGCCGGCCGCTCGGCCCCGAGGCGGCGCGGGGAGGGTCGTGGCCGGAGACGACGGGGCGGGGAGGCCTAGGGGCCGCGCGGCGCCCTTCTTGAGTCCCCCGGGCCGGCCCGCGGCCCAGGGAACGCCCTTGGTCGCGGGCCGGGCGGGTGGCCAGGTCCTGGGGTCGGGACCCCTGGCGGAGCGACTCAGGGGCGCTGCGCCTTTTCAAAGTTTGCACCTGAGTGTGGCCTGCGGGCGGCGGGCGGGCGCGCTGTTGGGCCTCGGGCGCGGGACGGAAAGTTCCCGCGGCTGGGAGGTCCCAAGGTGTCGGGGTGTCGGGCTGCCGGGCCACCCAGCGCCCCGCGCTGCCTCCCTCCCTCCGCCGGACTCTGGCCTCGGGCCCCAGTCCTGGCTTGCGAGAGGTCGCTGCCTGCCGAGGGGGGGACTCGGCTCGGACACCCAGCGCCCCCGCTGTAAAGCCTTTGCTTCTATTTTTTTCCCCTTTTTGTTTGGCTACCTTCTCACTTTGAATGGTTTTGTCAGCGTAATTAAAATATCGAGAGGGAAATGAGTTGTGCTTTCGGTTATGTGTTTTCTTGAGAGAGAAAAAAACGTCCAGGCCCGAATTACGTGGTGGAACTTTGACTTCTGCTTGGTAATTGGCCAAATGTTGTGTTACTTATTTTATGTTATTGTTTATGAAATTAGCAGTCATCCTTGGGTTCGTAAACGCTGCCTTCCCCTCTTCCCCTTTCTTGAGTGTTTTCCGCATTTACTTGATTAAAGTAGTCACCGGGAAAGGAGGACCTGGCATAGGAAGCGCCATCAGTGAGCTATTGATCGGTGATGTGGTGTTAGCCTTGAATTTACTAGTACACATAGTTCTTTAAATCTCATTTATATAAACATCAGCACGCTTTCCCATTTTTATTTTTGAAATCTCTAAGCTACAGTACTTTGGGCTGGTGAAAGCCTTCGTTTTTTTTGTTGATGGTGATAGTGGGTGTTCTGTTTTTGGTGGAGGGATAATTTAGGAAATTGATAAGAAATTTGAAATTCCTTTCAAAGATCGGAATTGTCTTCAGTTTTATCTGTTAAAGTTGGTGTTCAGATAAATTTTGTGCTCTGACTCTGAAGTACAGTATTTATACAGAAATGAAGCGAGTCTCCTCCAGGGAATCTTGCTGCTGTCCTGACATAATTACCTTCTTGTTAAAATATTTTGGCTGTGCTGTTCCTGGTTTTACTGGGTGTAATAGAACTTGCCACGGTTTTTACATATATTAATTTTTTGTTGACCTTTCAAAAATAAAACTTAACTCAGGCCAAAGATTTATAAAGAATTGGATTTTGAGATTTGTTCAAGAAATCACCAGTTACACAATCTTCTTGCAAGTTTAAGCAGTTTGTGAAGAGAGACCTATTCCATGGTGACCAGTTGCCTGCTGTTTTCCACTCTGATCTTCTGAGGCATATTTGTGTACTTTAAGTGGGGTACAGCTTGGCTACTGGTACAGGTATACATTATGAAAATTTGAGACCTGAACCTAATTTTTTCACCAAATTGGAAGGGACAGTCAGTCGTTCTTGTATTGAACTTGAGTTGATGTGTCCTCAGGGAACACAAGCTTTACAGCATGTGTAAGCACTTCCTACTTTGTGATCTGTTGTACTCTGAAGGCATATTCCAGTCGTCTGACTGTTGGTGTCTCAGCTTTCTAGTCACAGTTCCACATGGTGCTCTTTTCCTTATTCACGGTGTGACAAACCGGTGTCATTTGAAGAAAAAGACCAGCAATGAAGCACTTAGTAAAAGAGGCCACTTCGTCAGTTTTCTGTTTTTTGTACTTCCTGGTGATTCTTGCATTAGGCCAAAGTCTCATTTCTTAATTGTTCCCTCAGAATGAGTTGTTACTTCTTTCAGTCTGCCTTTCATACCCCTAAATCTGAGCAGTTTGATTTTTTTCCTTTTTTTTTGGGTACCAGGGATCGAACTCTGGTCCTTGCGCTTGCAACCACTGAGCTAAATCCCTGGCCCCTTTTTCCTTTTTTTTAATTGGGTAAGTGGGATGAATATACTTAGTAATGATGACTGACTTCTAAGAACATTTTAGGCTCAAATGGCACTCTGGCTCTTGCTTGTAAACATTAGGTGATTGGGAATAAAATTCAGTATCTGGATATTTTAGGTAGTGCTGGGATTCCCATGAATTACAAGAGAAGGGCTTTAGTTCCTTCAGATCCAGTTTTCTGATTCATAGTTATTACATGTTTTCTTGAAGATGCAATTATCTCAACTATCATGATTTTAAAACTCTTGGTAGAATCACAATAGGGAAAAAAATTTTTTGTAGAAATAGGTTAATTAGGCAGTTCTTCACTGCTTAAGACAGTTAATCAAAAACTGCCCATTTAAGTGGTATTATCTGTTAATTTCTAATCTTTCCACAGTAAAAGCTAAATTCAGTTTAAGTGCATACACCACTGTGAACAGTCTCGTCTCATATAACGAACACAAAGAAGGTTAAAAAGAACGTGTAGTGTTGACCTCTATTATAACCCTTCCCCTCCCCCCCGCTTTGGTACTAGGGATGGAACTCAGGACCTGGAGCTTGCCAGGCAGGCGCTGTGCTGCTGAGCTACATCCCCAGCCCTGTTGTAAGCCTTTTTTGAAGGCTATATTTTGACAAAAGTTTTTTAGTGAATTTGAGTAAATTAAGTTCCATTCAAAAGATCAAGTATTCAGAAAGAACTTTTTCTATATATGTCAAAAGGGACATAAAATAATTAATTCCAGTTAATCCATATCTACTTAGCTGTAATATCCACATCAGACTTAACTGTTGGTAATCAATTTGAATCCTTTTGTGCTTATCACAGTCAACTCTTGAAATTCCTTAGGGATTTTTTTTAAGGAATAATAATTACAACAAGACGCCTGGAGTTCTTGATGCTTTTTTTTTCCCCAACTTTTCCTTCCAGCTCCAATATCTAAAGTTACATATTTGTGTTATACAGTTTGTCTGGTTGAATTAAGTAGGTGTGGGATGTTAGAAATCCTGGTAGGAAATGAGTGAATTGCTTAAGACTTTTCTATGGTATAACAGATTTGTGAGAACAGTTTAGAAAGCATACTTTGTAGTTTCTCCTAAGCTTTATTTAAAGAATAGAAAGTTATAAAGTGTCTTAAGAATTAAGGTTGATTTTTAGTTTTTGTTGAAACAATATGAGAAATCATTTAATTTTGTGTAACAATTTTAAGTTTCTTAAATAGAACGTATAGTATTAGTGTAAAGAAAATTTCTGATGGAAATACGAAATAATTTCTAACTAAAGGAGTAGACTGTAAAGCATGAAATTTTGCAGTTTTTAAAATTTGCTATTTTTATATTAATCATCTGAAAATTAAATCATAGTTATTTTAATTGTCCATTTAAAACTTTGAAGCTTTGTGTGTCCTATTCCTTTCTTTTTTAGTTTGCTGTTCTGTGCCCTCTTCCCCTGTGTACCTTCTTTTTATACCTTTTTACTCCTGCTATGAGTCCCTCAATCTCAAGTGCCTATTCCTTTTGTTTCTGTGATTAATGGCTGCCTCCTTTACAATGTCATCAGCCCCAGCAGGCTGGAACGATGTAGTTGCTTACCTTTGTATCCTCAGTGACAGTTTGGAAGAGCAAAAAGATAGTTCAGTCAGATAAATGACTCATATATTACAGTTAAGGAAACTTTAATCTCCAACTGTAGGCTTTGGTTCTTTTAATTGTATTTTAGTAAACATCTTTTTAAAAGTATCCATGTACTATGCAAAATTTATACTCCACCTTAGGTATCAGCAGTGTTTGTTTTTTAATGCAGCAACTCATTTACTAATGTTGCATGATGAATTGGTTTTTGTGGGTTGCTTGGTTTTGTAGTATTGGGGATCAAACCCAGAGTTGCTGTATCATTGAGCTACATCCCCAACCCTTTTTATTTTTTGAGATAGAATCAGTCTTGTTTAAGTTCCCCAGGCTGGCCTTGAATTTGCAATCCACCTGTCTCAGCCTCCAGAACAGCTGGGATTGCAGGCATGTGCCACTGGTGATTCTTATGGTTTAAAGCAATTGGAACCAGCCTCACACTTCTGACTTTAAAAGAATTGTCTTTAGGGGCTGGGGATTTAGCTCAGTGGTTTCACTGCCTGCTGCGCAAGCTCAAAGACCTGAGTTCGATCTCTGGTACCAAAAAAAAAAAAAAAAAGGAATTGTCTTTAACCTTTGAGCTGTCAGTAGTGTGCTTAGTGTTAAAAACAGTTTAGGTTTTTCCTGCTTACCTTTTTGATTTCTAACTTGATTGCATTGTGAAAAGGGAGTCAGTCACATTAATAACCAGTATGGTACCTGGAAATTTATTGAGGGACTTTATACCTAGGAAAGAGTCAGTTTTTACAGATGTCCTTCTAGTCCATTGAAAGAATAATATGTTCTCTAATTGTGTGTGTATGCTCAGTGTCCTTATCCTTGTAAATTTGTTTTCTCTCATCTCTTGTTTCTTTCATCTACTTGATGGAGACATTGTAACATTTGGGTTATAATGATAATTCTTCTAAGTTTAGTGTTATTAACCCAGGTAAATGCAGTTTTTCATCATTATGAAGTAACCCATTTTATTTTTAGTGGTGCATTTTTTTCTTAAAGACTGCTGTCTTTTTAAAAATGTGATTTAATTAGCTTGTTTTTGGTAAATATTTGCTTGGTATATAGCTGAATTACCTTTCTATGCAAGCTAATTGACAGATTTTTGTCTCCCAATGTATTTGTGTTTACTGATATATTTGGCTTTCTGCCCATCGTTTTATACATTTATTGAGGTTAGTCTTCAGGTTCTTGAAATCTGACCCTTTCCCCCAGCATTTTTGGGAAGTTCATGCTATTTGTCTCTTTTTTAGTGGTTATCATAAGCATATTAACATTTCTAAGTTAAAGTGCAAAGTTACTCCATATTACTACCT